TGGTCACTGTGAATGCTTGCCGACCGCAGGTACGTCAAGCCCTCTGCCATTCTGTCTTCCCCTTGCTCTCCTGTGTGCTCTGCTCTCTTGTGACTTTCCCTATCCTCGGGATTGAGCGACTCTACAGCTATTCTAACGGTGCACCTGGTCTGGTCACTGTGAATGCTTGCCGACCGCAGCTGGTTCAATTGACCTCAAGACACCACCAAAGCTTTCGCTCCGCTCCGACGGACGTCTCTCAAACCTCTCTCAAAACGCTTCCTCAAACCTACGCGCTTCCTCGCAACCCAAAGATAACCTCCAGACGTGCTGGAGCCTGACAATGGATAGTAGTATTCTGTCTCAAAAAAAAAAAAATTAAAAAAAATTTCAGAATCTGGAACATTGCTCTCTCTTCCTCTCTTTTAAATTTTAACCTTTCACATCTCTCTTGAGTGTAAAGGATGGATAGTAGTATTCTGTCTCAAAAAAAAAAAATTAAAAAAAAATTTCAGAATCTGGAACATTGCTCTCTCTTCCTCTCTTTTAAATTTTAACCTTTCACATCTCTCTTGAGTGTAAAGGGTGGATAGTAGTATTCTGTCTCAAAAAAAAAAAAAATTAAAAAAAAATTTCAGAATCTGGAACATTGCTCTCTCTTCCTCTCTTTTAAATTTTAACCTTTCACATCTCTCTTGAGTGTAAAGGATGGATAGTAGTATTCTGTCTCAAAAAAAAAAAATTAAAAAAAAATTTCAGAATCTGGAACATTGCTCTCTCTTCCTCTCTTTTAAATTTTAACCTTTCACATCTCTCTTGAGTGTAAAGGATGGATAGTAGTATTCTGTCTCAAAAAAAAAAAAAATAAAAAAAAAATTTCAGAATCTGGAACATTGCTCTCTCAACTTCCCTTTACATTTCAGCGGGGTTTCCCGTCTCGTTCACTGGCTCGGGGGAACATTGAAAGGGATTATTAACGACCTATCAGAATCAGTAACCCACGTACCCACGAACAGTTCATTTGGTAACTGCTGGTCTGGTAACTGCTGGTATCTAAGCCCCGGCATAAGATACGTGAGCCTTGGAAAAGGGTTCCTTTGTAAATGCAACCTTCCACACGAGGACATATAAACACGACCGTATATGTCAATGACATGATTAATCTTGCCATCTTTGTAATGCACTTCATGACTCACATTTCCACTGTCATAAGTGGTTTCAGATTTGAGAACCCCATCATCAGACCATTGTTTTTCCCGCTCTGACTTCTCATCATGAAACCAACTTTCAACTATTTTGACCCCATTCTTGTTATATTTCTCCACTCTTTTTTTAGGAATCGCTAAATCACTATAAGTCCATTCTCGAATTTTAATAGTGGTACCATCTTCGTTTTTAATGGTGTGGAAAGTACCCTCTTCAGGCATTATGTCCCATCAAAAGATTTCCTTTTAATATAAATAATTTTAATTAATTAAAATTATATAATTAGAAGTGCTCTCTCGACTTCTCTTTACATTTCAGCGGGGGTTTCCCGTCTCGTTCACTGGCTCGGGGGCAGTCTGGCATTTGTTAATTAAACAAAAAAATGATTTCTAAAATACTTAAAAACATTATGCTTGTATATTTATAATGCAACCATTTGAGCTAAAGGAACTAATTAAATTGATTAATACTAAAGATGTCCAAAAATGTAAGGATTACATTAACCATTATTTCTTCTGCAGTGGTGTCGATATATTCTTTTACGATGCCATCGGTGGCGAATTTTGTTTGTACAAGCTGTGCGAGGCACGCAAGAAAATACCCAAAGACATCCCCAAGGTTAGTTGGCGAGATGACGATGACCGCAAGCATACTTGGGATGCCTCCAAGTACCTTGGCTCAGTCGATCATCAGGCTAAACTTTACCGCCCCACATGTCATCTGGGCAAACCCTTGGTGTTTGAAGCACCGAAACTAGTGCAGGGGGAGACTATGATCGTAAACTACATCAACTCAGTGAAACAGAGTCCCCTTGACCGGGAGATGCAGATCCCTCAAGAGGCTCAAGAGAAAGCAAGTAGAGGTTTGCAATACATTCTGGGGTTCATCAAGGATATTATTTGCGGTGGTTATGCACAACAGGATGAATATATACTCAATTGGCTTTCATGTACCGCAGCAGGCGTCAAAGTACAAACTCACCTGCTCATGGAAGGGGACGGCGGCGAAGGCAAAAGCTTGCTGTGTGAGCTTATGAGAGAAATATTGGGGGCTCGCTATTATAGCACCAGTAATGTCGAGGAAGTTTGCCAGTACACCAGTAATTTCGAAGGGCGTTCCTTAATTGTGTTGGAAGAGATGCCGGTTTCATCCAACAGCAGCAAGCGTGGTTTCACGGATGCCCTTAAAAGTCTAACAACTGAATCGGTTTTTGCGTGCCGACGAATGCACAACCAGGCGTACCAGCAAAGTAATACTTTTAACATCATCGTGAACAGTAACCATTCTGCTGAGGAATTAACCCAGACCAATAAACGGCGAGCCGTTGCGTTTGACATTAGTCGCAAGCGAGTGGGGGATGTGGAGTACTATAACCGCCTCCACAAATATATATGCGACAAAGATGTTCAGTTGGCGTTCTATCTGTTCCTGATGAGCCGATTTGATGGCATGCCCAAGGACTGGACGGGCAATGAGGTGCCTATGTCTATTAAGCGCAGGGAAAAGCTAACTCGCTCCTTGCCGCCTAGCATAAAGTTTTTGATTGAGCACTATGTTTTGCCCAAGCGAGACATAGACAATCTTCCGCGCAAGCAACTGCGTGAGGAATTTAAAACCTTTTTCAAAGGACATTATGATCAGGCTCAGTTTGGTCGAGATATGGCAAAGTGTGGCGTTACAAAAGGCACCAAGTTGGAAGGTGGTGTGCGTTGTCAGACTTATCGTGCTGAATGGCAAACCATTGACTCCACGCTGAAGGATCTTGGTATCATATCAAATTTTGATGAAGAATACGAAGAGCATGAAGAAACTGAGGTACAGCGCTATAAACGGTTTTTAGACGAGCGTGACCGGCGCATCCAGGAACTAGAACAGGAAATAGCAAAATTAAAACAACAAAAGAAGCGAGTGGCAAAACCCAAACCCTTGCCCGAACCCGAAATGGAATTAGAAGTAGCGGAAATAGATTCGAGCGTCGAAGAATCATATGACCCGGAAGATTTCGATGAGGTTCTTCCGGACCCCGAACCCAAACCCAAATCCAAACCCAAGAAAATTCAAGTCCAAATCAAAGGAAAACCGGCAAAAGCCTTTACGAGTCCTGAGGAACGATGCCTAGGTCGTAGCCAACAATGGTTGGAGAGACACGACACAGATATCGTTCTGAAATGTGATGTGGCAGACTTATTTGACTAATTTTATTCCTTGAATTGATTGATCAGTCTTTTAATTCTTGGATTTTTCTCCAGTTCAGAGGCGAATTCCCATGTCCAGTCTTGTTTTTTGGGATAACCCACCCAGCGGACTAAATATTTTACTTTGCCACGCTCTGTCTTTTTACCTTTGAGGGAATGGACATTGTAAGTTTCAAACGTCAGAGGTTGTTCCGAGGCACCCCGGAGATTATCGGGATCGGGCTCTGGTTCGTTGTCGGTTACGACTTGTAATTGTTTACGTGTATAGCCGACTTTTTCCAATTTGGTATCAGAATCTGGTAGATTGACTAGATACATGACGGGCTGATCTGGACGAATTAATACTTGATGAATAGTGCGTACTCGACTGTCCCATCGCTGATCGCCCTTTCTGAATTTACCATGCAAACGTTGTCCTGTAACGTAATCTTTGGGCTCTTCCAGGGGCACCCTGACCCGTGTACCTTCTTCCAAAATGTCGTCATTTCCAACTTCAAAGGGAAACTTGCCGCTGTCGGCTCGATCTTGTTTGGGCTTTTTGGGCAAATTGTTATTGACGGCTGATATGACTTTGGGTAGGTAGTCAACCCATTGCCGTGAAGTTGTGCCTGATATTTGCTCCAGAGCAGCCATACGCAGGTTCAAGGCTTCACCAATCAGACCATTACGGTGCTCCACGACGGCTTGCTGCCTGTGCCGACCTGTTTTTCCGTGTCTTAGGTCTATGCCTTTGCTTTCGAGGTGTTGTTGAAAGACTCCCTTGAATTCAGAACCGGGGTCGGTTTCGAGTCGCGCCGGATAGTCCAATACATTGGAGCTGTAAATATCCTGCAGGGCTTGCAAGGTTTCTGTGGGTGATTTAGACTTGAGAGGGCGCGCATCAGTCTTGCCGGTATGTACGTCGACCACGACCAAAGCATAGGAATAGGACTCGTCCTTGGGTAAAAACAGGAGATCAGCTTGATGAGTGCCATTCTCTTTGTGATTATTGAACTTGGGTATCTCGTCGCCCTTCTCTTTAGGTGGTAGTCGATGTAATATCATCTCACCGAGTTTAAGGTCTCTTAGCAATTTGTTCTTCATATATTATAGAGAACAAATTACAATTCAAAACTTATTGCCCTCGCTATCCAGGACTTTCATGGCGTGAACAACATGTGCCCAACCTTGCTTTTCCAACTTGATGCCACCTAAGTCGGAACTTGATCCTTCACAATCGTATGTGGCTGGTTGACTCAGGATCCAACCA